ACCATATTTGTGTGTGTGCGCATGTGCGCTTGAATATCAGCTCATGCCTTTCATAATACATCTACCATTATATGCAGCGAGAGAAACAGAAACGATGACAAAACATTAGAGGATAAAGGTGTGAAAGAGAAAGTCAGAGTTAGGATGGAGAACATTACTACACCTATAACCCCCCCTCCACCCCCCCAAAAAAAAAACAAAAAAACACACACACACCAAGCAGAACCAGGAAGCAGGCCTAGATGACTGGAGGAGCAGGGAGAAAGGAGAAGTGGAGCCCGGGGCTTTCTGTGTGTCACCCCATCACAGGCAGCTGATGCCTGCCTGTAGGATGCACTGTGTCTGGGTGGGTGGGGGTGGGGGTTCCACGTCCATCATTACTGTACTACTCAGATTCTCACTGATGCATGGAAAGCCAAGATAGCTGGTACATCCAGCATATTCAGTTTAATGGAACAAATGCACCTGGAGCCATGCTTAATTGCAGACGACTATGTGCATGTTGTTGTATGTGGAAATGTTAAGATTCTGTACTAAATGTACTTTTATCACTGCAGCACTGATGAGCTTTCTAGGACAGAATTCTAAGAATGAGCTATGGATACATAGAGTGCCCCCTTATGGACTTTTGGAAATAGATTCTCATTGGTGCAGCGCATTTTCTACTTGCAAACACACATACACAGGCCTGTTAAGCATGAGCAGTCTAAGACAGTGTAGCTAATTACATGCAAGTGAGCAGTGCTGGATTTCCATTCACGATCTCTGTAGCACCTCCAGTGAGATGACAGCAAGTTGGCAAGCCCTGCAGCTGGAGGCTTCTCTCTCTCTCTCTTCTCCATCCCTCCATCCACCCAGGATTCCCTCTGTTAGATTAAACACTTTGATGTTCAAACTGCCACTTTCACCAAAAACCCATCCAAGCTGCTGTGGGATTGGATCGTGACTGCGACAGTGCAGATGCATGGGCTATAGGGTTAGACGATGCAGTGTGGGTGTTTGTTTCCCGCGCTGCTGGAAATGCTAACCATCCAATGACAAGTTAATCCACTGCAGTTGTACCTATGCCAGGGCTGAGCATATTAACGCTGCTTTAGGATATGTTATGTTTCTGTGATTCACAGGTAAAGAAAGTGGGGATTTACTGTTTTGTTGACTCACAATGAGTCACCTTGTACGTATAGAGAAACACAGTAAAATTAACCAATATAGTCTTACTGTATGAAATACTGAAAGAAAGCCCCTACTGCAAGTCTTTTGTCCGCTGTCAAAAATGTGCAGTATAGCCCTGCTGGCAAGATAAAACCCCAGGCAACCGAGGCATGCAGGAGAGAAGCCATGCTGGAAACATAATTCTTATGCTAATTAGCGTGCAAGCAATCGATACAAAGGCCTCTTTGACCTCCCAGTGTCTTGTATGCTTTCAGCTTGTGGCCTGCAATCAGAGTTACCTAACATTATGGTGAGACAGCCAGTCAGTCAGTCATGTCCCTTTCCAAAGAACAGCCTCTTCTGCCCATGCTCAGTCATGACAAGGCTTTGACATCACTGTCCGACTAAGAGTGACTAAAACTGACAATCCCCTGTACCTCAGAGAAAGAGAAATAGGAAAAACGCTCAACTATTGGTGAGGAGGGAGTGGGGGGCAGAGAAAGGGGAGGAAAGGCAGAAAAGGCCTGGATGATTCACACAGCGTGCACTGCAGCGGCTGAGGTAGCCGTGTCTTGGATTAGGCTACATGAGTCACGTTTATCATGCAGTAGCACAAGGTAGGGATTGCACAACTTTCACTCCATTAGGAATGCTGCCACAGTCCTTGATGATGGAAAAGAACAGCTCTAATGCCTCTAGAAAGCTCCCAGTGATAGAGGCACACATCTTTTACCCTGATGTCTCTAGCCATGCTGGGAGGCTGCAGCAACAGTGAACCTGCCAGACATCGAATTTGGAGCGACTTACAGTAATCACCAAAAATGCAGCCTAATATTTATACTGCATTCAAATAAAATAGTCAAAAAACAAGAGCTCCTGGGTTGTGAGCATGCAAGCATGTGCATACTTTTCATTGAAGAGGTAAATCTACAAGAAAATCAACAGGATGGAGATATTTAAGGCCACCGCCCCCGAAATACCTCTCTCCTCATTAGCCTGGCTTTCCTAAAACGGTCAGACCAAATTCTTTTTTTAACAATACATCAAGTGAGTGTGTTTTTGTGACCTGGGGCAAGACGACAGAGTGTAATATTCCACCATAAAGCAGAGGTTAAAGCGCTGATGTCGGAAATAATCCGGTCCACCTTAAAAACTCAAACCCTACAGTGGACAGCGCCGTGGTGCTGAAACAGCTCCGAGCGACATCTGTACACAAGAGGGTGGTGGGGGGGGGGGGCAGGATCTACCAAGACTTTAACGTTGAAATCACACACAACCCGCGTGCGCCACCGACATAAAGGACACCTTAAATGATCTTTCCAGTGTCATATTGTGTAATCTCGGTGACGTTCGTGGGGAAAGGTTAAGCAATTTGGCGTGCTTTTTACGTGAAAATGGCGCCCGCTGCTGCTAACCCAGCCCATTATAGTACAGCTATAGCTACAACAAAGTGGGGGGAAATAGGTTGGAGTGTTTTGCCGCATTATAAAATGGTACTAAGCCATTCAAATAAAGTTATTTTCTAAAAGGGGAGTCAATAAATGATAACCAAGCGAAGGAAAGGTCCATCTCACCTTGGTCCTATCGGCTACTAGTCGAGTGTAGCCTATAAGCTCTTGCCTGGATGTCAGGAGGCAACATAATCCACCAGTATCTCACAGAGAGACAACTAGGCTACACAAATTCACACTGTAGGCTACCCTAATAACAACCCACAAACACCCGGGGTTATTCGCCACCGCCAACAGCACCGACAGCTCCCACTATCTCCGCTTTTTCCTTACTTTAACATCGACTGTTCCTTCGCTTCCTCCTTCTTCTGTCGGTCCATGACACCGAGGATGATCTTCCTCTCCTCCTCTGTGAGGTGGCTGAGGTCCGGCATCTCCGGCATGGCGCCGGCCGCTGAGGCAGCAGCAGCAGGGCCAGGGCCGCCCCGGGGCCCGTGTGGAGCAGACATCTTTTACACACAGTGGCTAAAAAACGAGAAAAGCACCGTCAACCAGCAGCATTCTGGTCGATATCTCTGTTACATTTCATGCAGTCAGAAACCTAACTGGCAGTCGCATTTGCTGGAGGCACCGTGGCTTACAGACGGCATGGCATCGTGGTTAGGAATATAATGCACATATTACACTGTGCTGCAGGAAAAGGCGTCAAAATATTAATTACAGGCTCCATCCTGATCTATTAAATGCCCATAATGGGGTTATCAAACACGCTGCAGCCGAGTGACTGTCGCCTGCAAACAGGGAGCTCGCAATATTCAAGCAGTTGCAGCTTGAAACGCCAAACGTAGGCTACACATGAACATTTCTGAAAGAGAAAACACTCGAGATTAGAAATAGATGCCCTTAAACGAAGCAAGAGTGCACAGGCTGTAGGCTGCAGACTTCAAGTATTCCAAACACAAGCCTCTATCCATCCAGGGATTTTTTAAATAGTAGGAAAAAATAAAAAAAATACAGAAGATTAAAAAAAAAAAACTCTTGCCTTTTATTTTGCAGTCATGTTAAATCCTGTCTAACCCATCGCTGCCATCCTTTAGAGAGGCTGTACTCGCATGGTGGAATAAAAGGTGCCCGGCCAGTCCTTGTTTATTTTCGTTTGGAGCCCTTAACCCTCCTCTGTCACTCTGGTTAGCTCCCTTTCCTCCAGGTTGCTAATTCTTGGAGATTTCTTAAATGCACAAAAATGGATGCAATGACAGAGAGAGATGGGGGGAGGGAGGGGGGGGGAGAGAGAGCGCGAGAGCAAGGGGAAAAAATCCGGATTGGAAGAAGGGGCGGAGCATTGGAAATACGCAAGAATAAAGCAGAGAGGACGCGCTGGATGTTCATTGACAGCAGGCAGATAGCAGCCGCAAAAACACGGACCGGAGGGGCAGCTGGAGCAGCACTGTACCAGGAAGAACGTGATGCATATTTTTTATAACCAGATCATGATTACTGTGAGAGGGGGGGGATGTGAAGGGGGAAGATAAACACAGAAGAGGACTACTGACAATGACAGATGCTGTAGAAACGTTTTTGTTTTCTGTCGGCTATATTGACGCACGTCACTGTGGAAACAATATGTTTTACACGAAAGTCTTTTAAAATTAACTTCTAAGGGTTTTGGACCGTTTGGTCAAACAAAATAAGACATTTTAAGAAGTCACCCATGGGCTTTGGGAACTTGCGAGGGGCACTCACTTCTATATCCTGACATTTTACAGGCCAAATGATTCATCAATTAATCAAGGGCATAGCCGGTAGATTAAGTGATCATGAAAACATCTGTTAGTTGCACCCCTATTTCAACTTTCCAAAGAATTTAGTTATTAAAGAGTATGGTCTAGACCTGCTCTTTTATGAAAAGCCTGTGAGATAACTGTTGTTGTGATTTGGCGCTATATAAATAAAACTGAATTGAATTGAAATACAACTGCCACAGAAGAAGCCAGAAAAGCTCTAAAACTGAACCAAATAATCCAGGTATCACATTTCACTTTATAAACAATTGATTGGAAAAAAAAACAACATACTTTTTCAGATCTAACCACCCTGATGCACCAGATTTTGATTACATCATCATGTTTGTGTCACTCTCGAACCCTTTCCATTGCCATGCTCAGGAGCGGACTTTCTTAGGTCTGACCCCATGAAAAGTCCTCCTCTTGATCCCTGAGCTCTAGACAGTGCTCTCTCTGTCTGCAGTGTTGATAGGATTTGAAAGACAACATTAAGAGGATAGAGCCTCTAGCTTGTTAGGACTGTAAGTAAATTAGCACCATTGCACTCATCTGCTGCAATTAAAGTAAAAGAAGATCATGATTTCTTAGAAATATAAAATGTTTTCACAGCAAGAACAGATACATCTTTTTTTTTTATATATAAATACACATCAACAAACAGTGTCAGTCCCATATACATACAGATTGAGATTATTATGCGCTCTAACAATGTTACCTAGCCCATAGGTTATTAGATATTTCAAAACTGAGGGGAGAAACAGTAAAACTGATGACACTTTTTTTGCTAGTAAGCCAAAACATCTGCCCTTCAGGATGGTTATTTAACAAACCTGTGTTTCCATGTCCAGTACAATAACTAAAAGCAGAAAACAAAACGTTCAGATATAAAACACTTTCCAAATATTCCTTAAGGTGTGAGTATGCTTTAAAAGAAATCTTCTTCAGATCGTTTAACATTAACTTACTGAAATCACGGCCACCTTATGGAGCAATTGGCCAGGTGTGCAGTAGAAAGTTACAACGGGTCTGAACTTCACCCTCAAGCTCTGTTTTTTTCATAGCTACTTTAGCCATCACTTTTACATGCGCACTACTGAGTTCAGCACCGTGAGAGACTGGATCATAGAGGGACTATTCCAATGTGTCTAATTTTAGCCACATTTGTACAATGTATCATGTTGAAACTACAAAACACAAGTCTTCTTGGAGAATGATCACATATAGCCAGGATGAGGCGGTGACAGCAAGCTCTCAGGTTGTGGGAGTGTGGCAATTCTTAACAGAACACTTGTCCTTTCAGACACTGCTGGATTGCAAGTGGTGGTTGTAATAATCAACCTTTCTTAAACTTTATTTAGATTGATCTACACATTCAAAGCAGAATGTCACAGAATGCCACAAAAGTGGCAGAAAAAAAGGATTCTTTTACAAGATTTGTTGTTTGTATGTATTTACAGTGTCTCTGTACTTTAAACGATGCGTGAGTGGTCACTTGTCCTTCCCACAACTGACAAATGAAGACTTTTTTTTTTTTTTTTTAATCTTGAGTGAGAGCAGTCTGAACATGTCCCATGTGGGTGTGATCTTGGGCTCCACCTCATCTCTTAATGGCAGCCCTTCAGTGGTCTATTTGACCACAGTCACAACATGCTTCTCCTTCTCAGACACCACGGGGACAGTTCCTGGTTTGCTGTGCATGCGGACATTCTTCTCCCTGGAAAACAAAAAGAGGACGAGCCGTGAATAACTGTGAGGATACTCAGGAAAGGAGGGAGAGATCAGCAAACAGAAAGGAGGAAGACAATGAATATGAAGCTGTTGACCTAATACCTACGTCAGAGACTGCGCTAATGTACCCTGAAAATAATTCATAAAGCATGGATAGTAAATCATTCACAGTCCAAACACACATCTCGTGTGTCACAACACTGCCGGTAATAAGGAAAAAAAGCCACAGACTGAGCTGTGAATCACTGGACGGCAGAGCAAACTGAGACAATCAATCCACCATACAAGCGGTAAATGAGTATATCAGGCCTATTGAGACCATGTCAGAGGCGGCAGTCCCATCTGTGAGATTTTCCATTAGGCTGGTGTGATTGCATAGGTCAGACCTGTCCTGGCAGCAGCCCAAGTCACGATCACCTCTACATGGACACAGAGCAAGGTCATGCCATTCCCACACCCACACACTCAGTTCCTATTCCAAAATGTAAGGGAAAATCATGAATACATACTTCCTACGGCGAGCCTCTTTCATAATCCTCAGCTCCTTGCTCTGGTGGTAGATGTTCTTGGGTAGATGTCGGTGGCGAGCGATGCGTCTGATCTGTGGGTGGTGCTGGAACTTCTCCTTCAGCTTCTGACTGTAGTTGATGGCCTCTCTCTCTCTGGGGGCCAGCTACATGACACAAGAAAGGATGAGCTAGTTTGATAACGTTGAAGAAAGATCTGACATATCATCATTTTGGTTAAGGTTTGGTTAGATCTCGGAAACTGAAACAGGAGAAGGTTGTGATTTGGATTTAAAAAAAACACTATTGCGTTGACAGTCAAGGTTCTTTCTTGACTTGGATAAAGCAGCTAATAAAACAATCTTAGGGCAAAGACCATTTGGTCGGCGTTCCTGAACTTTCAATCATATCACATTGGCTGTATTCAAAACGGGACAGCGAGGCATCAAGTGCAGTTCCAAACAGCGATCTCTTCCCGTCTCGTACTGCCTCTAATATTTCAGTAGTGAAATGAGGTTTATTGGATGAACAGAAAATGTGCAATATGCATCAAAACAAAAGTAGACAGGTGCATCAATCCAAATCACCCCACAGATTTTCAATGATATTCAGGTCTAGGGAGTGGGATGGCCATTCCAGGACATTGTACTTGTTCCTATTCATCAACACCAGAGTAGATTTTGAGCAGTTTTGGGTTGTTGTCTTGTTGAAATATCCAGCCCCAGCGTAATTTCAACTTTGTTGACTGATTCCTCTAAATTATTTTCAAGTATCTGCCAATATTGAGTGGAATCCATGCCACCCTCAACTTTAACAAGACTCCCAGTACGGCACTGGCCACACAGCCCCACAGCATGATGGAACCTCCACCAAATTTTACTGTGGGTAGCAAGGGTTTGTCTTGGAACGCTGTGTTCTTTTGCCGCCATGCATAACGCCCCTTGTTATGACAAAATAACTCCATCTTTGTTTCATTAGTCCACAGCACCTTCTTTCAAAATGAAGCTGGCTTGTCCAAATGTGCGTTTGCATACCTCAAGTGACTGTTTGTTAGCATGTGTGCAGAAAAGGCTTCTTCCGCATCACTCTCCCATACAGCTTCTCTTTTCTGCAAAGTGCGCTGAATTGTTGAACGATGCACAGTGACACCATCTGCAGCAAGATGATGTTGTAGGTCATGGGAGGTAGTCTGTGGGCTGTTTTTGACCGTTCTCACCATCCTTCGCCTTTGCCTCTCCGATATTTTACTTGGCCTGCCACTTCTGGCCTTAACAATATCCGTGCCTGTGGTCTTCCATTTCCTCACTATGTTCCTCACAGTGGACACTGACAGCTTAAATCTCTGCGATAGCTTTTTGTAGCCTTCCCCTAAACCATAATGTTGAACAATCTTTGTTTTCACGTCATTTGAGAATTGTTTTGAGGCCCCCATGTTGCCACTCTTCAGAGGAGAGTCAAAGAGAACAACAACTTGCAGTTGGGCACCTTAAATACCTTTTCTCATGATTGGATGCACCTGTCTATGAAGTTCAAGGCAGAATGAGCTCACCAAACAAATTGTGTGTTCCAATTAATCAGTGCTAGGTAGTTACAGGTAATCAAATCAACAAAATGACAAGGGTGCCCAAATTTATGCACCTGTCTAATTTCATTTTGATGCATATTGCACATTTTCTGTTCATCTAATGAACCTCATTTCACTACCGAAATATTACTGTGTCTTTAAGTTATTTGATAGCTCAAAATTAAATTGCTGATCCAAACACCCAGTTATTTATAAATGAAAATCATGGAAATATTCAGGGGTGCCTAAACCTTTGCATACAACTGTAAGTGTTGTTTGAAGTCTTGATTCCAGTACTCTATTGTGAGTTTGTTGCTGACCACAGGATTCACTAGATTCTTTTGGCCATGGTGTTTTGTTAATTACTGACAGTTACGGTACGCATCATAAAATGTTGGCCAGTATAGTAAGCCATAACTTCAGCTTGACAATGTGCTCGTTCAAACCCGAATCAATGTCTGTTAAAAAAAAAAAAAAAGTGAAGCCACCAGCTAGAAAACATTGCTCCCTCTGCGTCTCTCTCATAAAAACCACCAGCTACTCGGACTGGTGTTGGCTGAGGCTGCCCTCCTCGAAGGCTTTTATTCTAATTAAAAGCAATGATTTGTCTCATATTCAATTTGTTGGAGAAGAGTTGCTGTATGCTGATCCTGTTGGACTAAACTAAATCCCCTGGATAAACACATGGTTAGCCTGCAAAACACTATTTGTGCAATCTCAACAAGATGGATATGAGATGGCAGAGGATGGCGCTTAGATTTTGTTTGGATAGTGAGGCTCGTATGAGCGATAATTATTTAGCAAAGATGATCACGTAAATATGGGTTTGAAAATACAACAGGACAATGCACCATGGTGACAAAAAGCTGCTTAAGAATCACTGCAAGATAAAAATGGCAAGCCAGATTCATGGAGAGACCATGCTGGAATTTTATTGCTGAGACTGAACAGTGGAAACTATCCAAAAGTCGACGAGGCTACAGCAAGGTGCCAGTAGTAACTGTAATCCAACTCACGCTCTATTAGACTGGATCAGAAAACCTAAGATGTACAGTCCACTGCACTGTTAAAAAACACTAAAAACTATGACCAAAATGTTCTATTGGCAGGTCACATCAGGATAAAAACAGAAATAGCTTGAATAAACTGTCCAAAAGAAGCAAACATGACCAACTGATTTAACTGCTGGTAAAGAGGATTTAACAGACTGCAGGCAGTGCTGGGAGGTAAAACGCAGCCCCACATGGAGTGGTACAGATCAAGAGGACGTGTCACTGTCACTTACATTATAAAAGTACTTCAGATGCATGCTCTGTATAATCACAATTATGCCACTGATCTTTTGCTCATCGCAGAGAAATTAGCCATTCCATCAGTATGGTAACACTGAATTGCTGAGATCTGGGAACACAGTGACAGATCCGCCGGGACCAGAAATACGAGCAGTCATGGTTACACAGGTCAGTTTTGTGAGGTTATTTAAACTACTTATTGGGCAGGTAAAACCCAAAGCAAGAATGCTCAAACTGTCTGTAATAATCTCATCTTGCAAAGGAAATCAGTATTACACACAAATACTACTACAATACACCTGACTCTCCAACTCAACGTTTCTGGGTAATGTAACAATATGTGGATTTAAAAAAAAAGACAAAATAGTTCTGCTGCATCGATTTTTATCTGATGTGTGAGTGTTTTTCACCCACATTCCCCTTGCCTAGTTAAAACGCCTCTGACGAACAAGATACACTTCCGTTTTAAAATCGAAACAGTGGTCTACACTGGCTGCGTAATGGCTCGAGTTTCACTTGCACATGCACTTTTAGACTTATTTTCTTCCGTTTTACATGTGTAACGACATGACCACAGATACGTACTGTGGATGAACACTTCCAGTGTACTCACAGAGAGGATTAAAGCCATTGTGTAGACAGGTTGGACCATGTTTCCTGATGTCAGAAATCAACTTGGTAAGTACAGTGTTATCATAACTATTAGAAAAGATGGATTATTACAAACTGGTTCTTATTGTTCATGACTATTCCTTAATTATGCTACATGACCGCTTTCATCAGTAAATAATATATAGTTTGGCACCTTCAATGGATCAACGGAGCAGACAAGTCCAAGTCAGTATCAGTCCTCAGTCTAAATGTTTCAAAACGATTCAGCAGTGCGAATTTTTAGGCACCTCACGATTCAATTCCACTTCAGAGGGCTACTATGTGATGATAAAATTATTATGGATGCATCCCAATTTTATCGTTCTATAAATGATTTATTGTTATTCTTTCTCACAGTGTGACTACTTACAAATTTGTTTTTTTGAAAAAATGCAAACACAGTGGCTCATTGGCCGTAATTCTTACTGTAAAGTCTCCCAAATACTGGCATATAGTCAATAAGAAAAACTAAATGATAAATAATGCTCCTAATATGCTCATAATAACACTCTGACCTGTTGAAGAGTATTTGATCTGCAGCTTCCGTTCGTTTATACAGGGCAGACACAATGAATTGAAATGTGCACATGAAGGCACATTGTAAGAGGAGGGCACTTTGACCACATGCTTTAATTTGGTATTCTATATGATAAACAGTTTGTGCAAGTGTGGTTGCATATACGCAGGGATAAAACACTCAATAGCATCTTGCTGTAGCAGGAATCTGCAGTGTGGGAGGCCGTCTGAAAGCTGTGGGGAGAAGGACTTCCATTCCTGTCAGTTTTTGTCTCGTTTCGCTAATTGCCGCATCGGGGTGATGCCATCATAAATGTAATGTTTGTATGTGTGTCACTGCTAACTTGAATGTGCCCGGAGGATCTGCAATCTCAAGTTTATTAGCAGCCACCCTGAGAACTCTGCCTTGTAACGTAATGAGAGCTCAACAACACTCGCGGTAGCAGTGGCCTGGGGACTATTGATTGACTATTGATTATTGACTTTTCTGCATCGAGTCAATCTTTCAAGAGAAAGAATCGCGATGCATCGAAGATGCAAGATGCAATCTTCAATAAATGTGTAGTGATGAGACAGAGTTTCTAGAGCAGAAGAAAAAAAAAAAGACTGATTGAAAATAAAAAGGAGTTGATTAATTCAACATGTTTAGATCTTGGCCTAAAATATAAAAGGGTCTTATATACATCGTAGTCCATGGCCTCTGCGCGCAAACATATGAGAAAAACAAACAAACAAACAAAAAAAAACATAGCGATGTGCAGCAGCTGACAGAGAAGCCCCCCATCAGTCCAGTGGGACGCCTTCAGACACTGAAAGCCTTGATTCAGCATTTCATGATAATTAAAGACCCTTTCAATACAACTTGACTGTTAATGCTTCATTATGTTCAGAGTGGCCCGCTTTAAGTGATTGGCCGATATAAACTGCTGATAGGAGCAGCCCTTGTCTGATCTCTTTAAGTGCAAAGCTTGCAAATAAATCGTCTCTTACACAGTGACGGTAAAACAAGCGCCAAAAGCGGGCCAATTTTCCACTCTGAAGCTGCATTAAGAGAATAAGCAAGAGAGAATCCGATTAGGAATGAAAGATGGCTGTTGGAGATGGCCCATGAGATGCCATTGATCTTTATTATTCAGCCATAACTGGGATATGGGGCATTGGAATAGTTCCCAGCATTTTACAGGAGCTTTATTTGACAGTTGAGCATAACATAAAATTAAGGCCATTGTTTCTGCTAACAAAGCCTATTTTATCCGAATACAATACATGTGGCACTCACTATACAATATATTTAAAGTCAGTGGAAATTTGTCTGGAAAGCTAGCTGAATCTTTTGTAGGGTGATTTGTCCAACAACTACACAAGCTTTTGCGTTTTCCAGAGTTCCACCTGCCACCAGAGTCGATGTGCCAAGTGGTACATCGTACTTAATGAGAGTGATTCTACCCTAAGTCAGCATCCATCAGAGCATTTGGCAACAGTAGTGCCGTTGCTCCTGGCATAGTCACCCACTCTTACCCTGCTGAGGTAGGGCCCAGGGCCATGGTTGTGTCAAACAATGCAGTTAACTCATAAAACAAGATCAGGTGATACACTGGAGGGAGATACAGTATACAGTACTTCTGACAGGTAACAAAAATACAGCGGTTGATTATTACACCACTTACTGCTCACCAAGAAGCATCAAGTGGCTTTTAATATGAAACAGATATGAGTGTAAGCAGAAATGATATAGAGACAGAGTATATACAGGAAACTGCCATGCCACTTTGAGCTAACCGATTAAATAAACATTTTTGAGTTTTTAAAAGGAATTTAAATATATTTATAACATATTTATTGCCTATATGTCATCAGATTGTAACGCCACCTAAAAATTGAGGCATTCACCAACTTTCTCAGTTGCCTATAACAGCCTGTAACACAGTGTAATTTTGCTTGCCTGCAATATGTGAGACAACTTTCATCGACCAGTTGATCAATACAACAAAATTCAAATAGGCCAGGAGGGAACAAAGATGAAGAGAACAAACTGTAAAGTGATGAATAACGTAAGTAGTGTAGGCGGTGTAGCACAGGCACAACCTGGAGGAGGAACTGGTCTAAATGACTGCCTTATTATAATATTATAACATTAAATTAAAAGTACGTTGTTAATTTAATAGTAAACTGTAAGTTTGATATGAATATATTCATTATGTTACTATATTCAATATAATTTCATAAACAGTATATAACTTTTAGTATAATATTAATTCAAATTACAGCTGTTTCAGTTTGAGGTTGTTTTTTTATTCATTAACTTTGTGCAAGAAAAATGCTCCAGGCTACATGATGGTCTCCAACCTTGATTTTGGGCAGGCTACTAACTCGTCAATAATCATACCCATTTATGCAGAACATTGAGTTCAACATTTATAAAGTTTGTTGCAGCACATCAAACTTTTTTTATATCCCGCTCTATCCAAGCTGTGATGTTCACAAAAAGTGACATTGACGAGTATCGGCTTTATGAAAAGTTGAACGTGTTTCAATAAAAATGCACCAATTTAGCTAAATAGCCAGCTAATTTGCATGCATCCACATCTTTAGGTCCTTTTCAGACACTTTGCTCTGCTCATTGATCAACCGCGGTTTATCACCACATATATTTACTGAATGTCAAGGAATGATAAGCTTCTTCTACTAAGTGTATTAAAATATTAAAGACTCTAAACGTTCATAACATTATACTTCGAATCATTTATCACCATTGATGAACCCCACAAAGAATATTATAGCATTTAAAAGCAGTATGCACGAAATTGTCGGCAGGCAGGCAAAACTCGGCGTAACACCAGCCAACCGGGTTACTTCCATTACTCCTGATCGCCACTCCAACTATGTTTTGGACAATTAGCATTGTGGGTCCGGCGGGGTGGGAGATTACGGTCAGCTGTACTCGAAAATCATTTTCCGGTTCGCACGGATGTATTTTTGGTGAAATAGGCGCATGGTAGATCCCTGTGCCTAACATTACAAAAACGAATCACACAATCGTTACTCTCTGCCTGTCTAGCGGCCTATTTCTGGCTATGTATTATAAATAAATACGTTCATCTACACTTTTAGCAAACAAACTTTTGGACAAACAGGATCTTCAAAATTTAATACCTTTTTAAATGGCGATTAAGACTTTTTAATAGCCTTAATTTTTGCAAAATTGATTTATCACCTTATAAGACTTTTTAAGACCCCGCGGACACCCTGAGAGAAGACAGGGCAGCACTCACCACTCCTAACTTCTCAGCTGCGTTGGCTTTCCACAGTCGGATGTTCATTTCGTCGGACCCGCTCAGGATGTATTTGTTGTCTGCTGACCACTTTATGCAGATGACGTGCTGCATGCGTTTGGTGTGGTAGACTTCCCTAAAATAAAAAAATAAAAGACACAAAATAGGGATTTACACAGAATACGCAGGAACACTAAACAACACCCATATTGACTGTAAATACTACTGCTGCCATAACACATCACAAAACTTCAGAATAATGTTTTTGATTGCGCCTCTTAAAGAAATGGCTCACTTAAAAAGTTAACTCTGACACCCCTATCGACAGGACGACGACATCGTTATTCACTGTTTTCTATCTACCCATTACAAATCAGTGTTGCCTTAACTCTATGGTTTTGGTTAGGTACAGGCACAAAAAACTACTTGGCTAGGTTTAGCAAAAGATTATGGTTTTTGGTTCAAATCACTACTTTGTTAAGGTTCAGGGAACTTCATTGCCATAATAAACACGCGGGTATGGTTAGAAAAAAAGCAGTCAGTCTCGTCATTGCATGAAAAGCACCGGTGGAACTAACAACATTAATGTTAGCTCAGTTCCACTAAATGTACTAGCTAAGTTTTTAAGTTTATTAATGTTATTGATTACATGTGTGCTTTACCTGCTTGTCAAAATGTCTGCTGTGCTAGAGGGCTTTGTCAAGGGAATGTAAACACTGAGTTGTTTTAGCAAACGCTCCAAAACGACATGTCTGTTTTTTTTGTTTTTGTTTAAGTGAATTTTTATGACAGCTTCAGGTTCCATGTTTATTGAAGATGTGGTACTGTGGACTTTGTTTTAGTTTTTTTTTTTTCTTTAAATACACATAATAGACCACAGAGGTGTAATTAATAACATTTAGGGCAGCACGATTTGGAGAAAACGTCATATTACGATTTTTGTGGACAATATTGCGATTCGATTATAATGGAACAAATGGTAATATGAGTTTACTTGCTTGATTATCAAGGAAAATGCACAAAATACTGACATTTTGAGATGTGTTTTTGAACAAAGTTAAACGAAAAACAACATTAATAACAATAACTAGTAAAACAGAACTAAGGGAAGAGGCGGCTAGAAGGAGCAAATATTGTCACACTGGCATCGGCTAATCTACATCTGTCCACTGCAAGAGGAGAAACTAGTATACATCAGTGTATTAGTATAATATTATAACATTAATTAAAGATTAGCCTATAATGTTCAGTTAATAGTATACTGGAAGAATAACAATAATAGCCTATATTAACTACTATATTCATTATAATAGCCTACTATTTTACCACTAGTTGAATATTAAATCCAGTTACAGCCGTTTCATTTCTGTGGGGTTTTATTTATTTATTTAAAACTTGTGCAAGAAAAAGGCTCTACATTGGTCTCTAATTTGTTAATGCCAGGATGAACTTGTCAATAATCATATTGTTCATCATTTGAAAGTTTGCTGTAGTACGTCAAACCTTTTTTAATGTCCCGCCCCATCCAGGCTGTGATTGGTCGGGTGACGACAAGTGAAACTTACAGGCACGTCAACTTTATGAAAAGTTGAACAACAAAAGGCACCGATACAGCGTTAAAACGTTAAATGGCCAGCGAGCCAAAACCAAACTTTCTTTATCTTCTCTCAGTTTTCTTCTGTCTGACTGCTTCAGCTTCAGTCTCCCTGTCTCTGTCACAGAGCGATTAGAGCACCGGCAGTTCTCTCGGTGCTCCGGTGGCGCGTCCGACTAGGTTTTGAACGATTAGCGGTGGGGCGGGGAGGGGGGTTACGGTAGGTTGTTGTCTTAAAAGTTACTTGCACACTGCCCATGAATCATTTTTTCTGATTGCACAGTAGGCCCATATGTTTGTAGAGCCACATGCGAGAGCGGAGATAAAGAGCAGACTGAAGTGCACACAGAGAAGAGAGCGTCACACACACCTTTTCTGTTTTATTAAATCACACACTTTTTGAGGTTATGTAATCGCACACGACGACATCGCGTTTAGATTCATCGTGCACTCCTATTAGGTGAGACAGCACTTTGGCCCTGGCATGATTAATTGGGACCTTTGTTAAAGTTATTAGTAACTTCTGTGTTTCAACTATTATGACACGCATGTTATAATAAAGGTCTCTATGGAAAAGCATATAAAAATATGAAAAATACACCATATCTCTGCTTATAGACAAGTTTCCGAGGCTGTTCCACCTAATATTTATGCAGCATTCTGCCTGGACCTGCCCACGCTGTGATGCTGTCCGGCTACATGCCCCCTGTAAATGTAACACAACTGTTGCTATTTGTTCTGCAACTTGACAAATGTGCAAACAACACTGCATGTACCATTACGTCACATAGCAACCAACCAATGGCTGTTTTTTTTTGTTTTTTCTTTGTGGTAGAGAAGGTCAGTCAAAACAATTAGCATCCCCACATTAGCGTTGCCAAATATCAAACAAACATCTCGAAGGGTAAGATACGACCCAATCAACAGGCTCTGATCATGAATATATATAATAAAGTAAATATAAAAAAACGTTACAGTCCCCAGAAACAAAACTACTAGTACCATCAGCTATTTAAAAAGAAATAAATAAATAAAAATCACAGTAAACATATAGCGTGATGACAATAAGATTTTTTTTTTCCCCAATTTAAACTGGTATTTATGGTCATACCAACCTGCTGTGACCACTGTCCTTGGGGAAGATCCGGATGGTTTTGTCAAAACTGCCAGATACAAATTCCTTCCCAGTGGGAGAATAGTCAAGATCCAGCACTGCAGAGACATGGTCCATGTGCACTGTGACTGGCCGGTCCAGGTACCTCATGTCATATGTGTAGAGGCTTATGAGACAAAGAAAATACAAAATTAGGCCAGTTATTAAAATTGTCAGGATAACAATATGAGAAGCATGGATTAATCACCCATCTGTTTTGAAACCATCTGGTGTGTCTACAAAAAGGTGCAGGGTTGTTCTTATCATTTTTACATGTACTATCCCATCTGTTTGAGTACTAACTCATTTCAGCATGTAAACAGGAGACCTAATTTAGTGCCAACAGAAATATGATTACGTGAAACACTCTCACTGTAACAATCTTCAACATCCGCAACTCACTTGTAGTCCTCATTTGCACAGGTGAAGTAATAGGCTTCCATCGGGTTCCAGCATAATGTGTTGCTCCTCATTGTCATAATAACCTATAAAATGAAAAACACACGGTAGATTTAAATCATATCACGTCGTTGTGAAAAAATGTCGAGAGAAAGGTAAATGTAATAGTATAGAGCCTACCTTTTTAAGTGGCGCTGATTCTCTCATGTCATACAGCACTACACTTCTGTCAGAGGCACAGCTTGCAAGAAGTTCAGTCTGTGGAAATACATAAACCAATTATTTTTAAGATATCAGCAGGGTGGCAGATTTAAATAAGACCACTCTGATGCTAGTGCGAACATGGACAAATCATTAAGGGCAAAGTCTTCTTCACTCTGTGACATGAAGAGGCCCGTCTGAGCGTGGGGTATGCGCACGGTGTCTTACCTCCACGGGGTTGAAGCGGACAGAGCTGAAGCTGTCTACGCCCCAGGTGAAAGAGCGGACCGGGCTGCTCCTCTGCTCGTCCCAGATGTCCACCTGCTGGCCACACGTTGCAAACACACCCTCCCTCTGGTGATGGTCCAGTCCTGTGAAGACCGTCTGCAAGGGACAAGAGTCATTTTTACTATAATCAAACTGTTTCTCTTACAGTAACCCAAGAGAACTACAGCAGACGCCCACTGTTCCTACCTTGCCCAGAATAGTGTTGAGCGGCTCCTCTTCCTCGCCGTAACCTGGTGCCTCCATTTTCCATTGCTTGATTGTTTTGTCATCGCCAACCTGTTAGAGCCAGCGTGCAAAGATGTAAAACACAAGCTGTATTAGAAATCAGCTAATAAAATGACTAATAATTCAGAAATCTCCTCTGAGATGTTGAAGGGCCGCAGTCACCGTAAAGAAGGACGTTCCACAATAACGGACAACCATTCCCCGGACAAAACCCTCATGTGCCTGAAGCGTGCGGACACATTCACGTTTGGTCAGATTCCACACTCTCACCTAGGGATCAAATACAACGTCATGTAATTTGTCAAGAAGGAGTGCATAACATGTATAGTACTCTCACACAGTTACGAATTACACTGCTATCTGGGGCCTGTATACTTTAACAGATAAGTTACCTCCCCGTCGCAGGAGCCAGAGAGCAGGGTGGAGAGGCTCTGGGTGTGCTTGGCCATGCAGTTCACCCCATCTCTGTGTCCATCCAGAGAGGCCAGGAAAGGCTTGGCAAACACCCTTTCAAGCTTCGTAGCATTGAGAGCCCGGGTGTACTCTCTGCTCACCTCAAAAGGATGGAGTGTTGGGTCATAGTTTCTAGGGACTGAGAACAGAGAGTAATCACTAAGGTGTAAACATCAAAAAGGACAAAAGAGCCACCTGTAGTAATATTACAGAGAATAAAATAATACAAACCTTCCGCTTACCTGCATGGGGTAAGAGGCAGCAGAACACTCATCCTATCATGTCATGTGAGAACACTCATTCTATGTGGCATATATATATATATATATATAGGATTTTATGTTCAGAAATAGAATTGTTTTAGGGCCAACCTAAACCTCTTCTTATGTCTATACAGTTACACAAAGATACATTTTGGAGTCGGCTAAGAAAGTTTTAATGGAATCAACTTAATTGCCTCATGGATACACTCCTTTATAGCCATTCATGCACAAATTTAAACAACTTTTTATTCGTTTTATAAGTACCATATGACTTACTGCACCTGCGCTATAGGCTAATTCACAAATTGCAAATAGTAGGTGCTATTGTTGTGTTAGCTGTTGCTATATGCACATATTTGTACCCACTTTGCTGTTCTTTGTATCCAAGTTTGCAGACAACGACGCCGTTTCTCCAGAGATAATTACATTGTGGGTTTTATGTCACAAGTTTTGTTTTTTTTAGTAAAACTGACTAACGTTAGCTGTTTAAAGTTAGCATATCTGAGTTGAGAGTTTCTAACTTACCACGCTGAATATCCAGTTTGGTCTCCCGGACATAATTATCCGGGTTCCTCGAGAGGACTTTAACTTTCATTTGGCCGCAGAGTGAAAACGGACACACACTTGCAAAATGCAGTTAGATTGAAGTTAAACAAGAAGAATAATAGCAAGCACTGGCCATGTGTTGATAACGAAGAGACTCTTTTGGTCCGCGTTGCATTGTGGGATGTCCAATCCTCCTTGTTGCGTGGTTGCGTCACACAGTCTATGGGTTGCGTCACTGTCGGATTTTAGGAAACAGCTGTCAAGTTACACAATTTAGCAAGAGAAACCCCGGAAATATAACGATTTGGCCTTCAAACTATGTACTTCATTTTTTTTCTTTTGCTTTGTGGAAGAAGTTACTGTTACGAGCGTCAATTCATATATATATACATACATATATATATATATATATATATATATAGTGAAAAACGGACTTCAAAGCACGTTTCCTCAAGAGGCTTCACCAAAGAATGAGGAGATTAAGTTAAACAACAGCATACCTTAAAAAAGATAGCAATACAAAACACACAGACTTATATGAACAAGATAACAAGATAAAAAAGGATAAAATTTTAAAATGTATCTTCACGATATACATATAGTCATCATTAAGGAACATAACGTTAGAGAAAAAGAGAATAGTTTTGTACCTCAAAGCGACTTTTATTAACTTTTACTACCTTGGTTTAATCAGGAAAGTCATTCAGATGTCCTTTATTACAAAAGAACATCCACTTTAACAACCTTGATTGACGTTTCTGCTGTTATTCAAATTATACCGAATTAATCTGCTCATCCCGTTCAACCCGAAAGGGTTTTATTTTGAAGGTCAGGCCCGGAAGCACTGCTCTTAATTATGCCATTTTGAAATGTGCTTACAGTAGTAGCAAGGTCGAGCAGCGGCACTGCAGCTTGACGTTTTGGGTAATGTTGCCACAGCCATGGAGTGTCAACGCATGTCAGAAACGTGGTTCAGCTGATAATGAAAATGAGCACGTTTCAAGGAGTTTCTGCCGTCTGTACACTATGTTAAAAGTTTGCAGCAGTGTCAATGCGGTGTCGCCTCATTGAGTAAGATTTTAGCTATCGTAAACACAGTTAGCTGAGAGGAGCTAGCTAAGTGACGTTTATATTACCGGTAAACATGAGTTCCGGTCCAAATCACGGCACCGTTAACGTTACAGAAACGGGGCTGTCCGGCAAACCCGCTGTCTCAGTAGCCGGACATGTCCAGCAAGTCTTCAGCCATGTGAAGATAGAAAACCTGATCGCGGGGCTCAGCGGAGGAGTGGTGTCAACACTGATGCTTCACCCTCTGGATCTGGTCAAAATCAGGTTTGCAGGTAACGTTAATATTACAGTATAAAATTATTATTGTTTATTGTAATAATGCCTTGCAAGTCATATGCGATGCTATAGTTTCTTTCCAGTTAGGAGCTCTATAATGTTATGGACCTATTGCTTCTTTTCCTTGAATCGAAATCTGGTTAGAAATCAGATATTTTAAAAGTGATTTGCTTAATGGAGACTGTTCCATGTTTCTACGGTTTAATAATGAATAATAATAAATTTGTTGACTTTTTATGTTAAATTCGGATGCCAAGACTTAAAGCTATTTTATGTCTTTTCAATTTAGTAAGTGATGGATTGGAATTAAGACCAAAGTACAGTGGGATAATGCACTGTATGAAGAGTGTCTGGCAGCAGGAGGGACTGAGAGGACTCTACCAAGGAGTGACACCCAATGTTTGGGGTGCTGGAGCATCCTGGGGTCTCTACTTCTTGTTGTACGTAAGCTCTTTGCAATAAACCTCTTGAATCGTGTCTGCATCGTGATATTTCTCACTAGGTGTTTCGACCTTTTAAAATGAATTCTAACATGTCTTATTTCCCACGCTGTCTTCTCTTACAGCTACAATGCAATCAAAGGGTACACGAAGGGGGGCCGTCAAACTGAACTGAGTGCCATGGAGCACCTGGTGTCCGCAGCCGAAGCAGGTTAGTCCAGCATATATCACATAATCAGCACACAGTCAACAACAGCCAGATAGCACTCCTCCGAGCTGGCCTAAGCAGACAGGAGGCAACTTACAAATTAGTACATAGCCCTTCTGTTAATTCTGTTCGCATGGGGTCACATGGATCTGCTTCCTGCTGGTCAAATGAAGTTAGGTGCTGGAAATTAAGCTTCACAAATGAGCTCAGGAAAAGCCAAGAGAGAGGTTTTTTTTTTTTTGCTGCTTCCAACTACATGAAAACAAACAAACAAAAATTACTCAGGCACTCAGTAGGGTACTTGTGCTACAAGTGTTATATGAAGTGCTAAGCTGGGTTGACATGTTGCTACTGTGCATCGGACTACACGCACATCACTGTCATATGCCAAGAGTTGAGGCGAGGAGTGCTGTGTGATATGATAATTTATCTTACTAAAAGTTTTGAAATCAAATGGTGCTCAGGTGGTATTTAGGGATCAAGGTGCATTCGACCATCTGTTGACCAACACACTTATATCATGTCTCTTTTAGACTTTTTTATTTTTTGAGGAGTAATTGCATCACTTGGTCCGGCTGTTTGTGTGTGTGTGTTTCATCCTCATTCTAACAGTGCTTACTTATCCTCACCTAGGCATCCTCACGCTCACCCTAACCAACCCAATCTGGGTGACCAAGACCCGGCTGGTGCTGCAGTACAACGCTGACCCAACCAGCAAACAGTACAAGGGGATGATAGATGCCCTGGTCAAGATCTACCGCCATGAGGGAGTGCCTGGACTATACAAGGTAAGACATCAGTGTGTCTTTATGCTTTCATGTAATATAGCAATACATGAGATGCTTATTTTACCCAATGACCGGTGAGCTGCTCTGTAGGGCAATCTGTAGGTTAGACCACAACAGCAAAAATTATCCTTTATTCTTCAAGGCTAACATTAAGTTTTGTATTGGTTCAGGAATCACCACTAGAGGGCAACACCTGCCTATATTAAATGGAGTTTCTAAGCTGTAATTTTGCATCTTCACTAACTTTATGTGAATTCTATTAGACTGGCAGGATAATTGCTACCAAATTACTGACAAAAAGTCTTCTCAACAGGCAGGGAGCTACAGAGACAGTATAGTGGGCGTTTGCCATTCATTAGATAATGCATACTGTGGGGATGTTGGTGTATAATGAAAGATTGACTTACTAAGCATATGCTTATCAAAGGGCTATGTTCCTGGTCTGTTTGGCACATCCCACGGAGCACTGCAGTTCATGGCCTATGAAGAGCTCAAGAGAGGCTACAACAAATACAAGAAAGTGCCTTCAGAAGCGAAGCTGGTGAGTCATTAACCCCACTGAGGCACAAGTAGTCTGGGAACATGCTGAGTGTTTAATAAAGTTAAAGACGGTTGGTAACTAGCATTTGAAGAAGTGATTCATCAGTTTTCCTACTCTGCTTTGCCCACTTCTCCCACCCTCCCTCCCACCCACCATCTGTTTATCGGTGTAAACAGAATGCAATAGAATATATCACAATGGCAGCATTATCCAAAATATTTGCTGTGGCCACAACATACCCGTATCAGGTGGTGCGAGCCCGCCTGCAAGACCAGCACAATACGTACAATGGAGTTATTGATGTCGTCAGACGGACATGGAGGTATGATAATAATCCACTCACAAAGCCAGTGCCATCAAAGTCTCACTTTCCAAATGTGGCTGTTAAAACTAATAAAGTAATGTCCATTTTGAGTCATGGTGCTTCCCCCCTCCTTTCTCCGCAGGAACGAGGGCGCCATTGGTTTCTACAAAGGCATCATGCCCAACTTGATTCGTGTCACTCCTGCCTGCTGCATCACCTTTGTAGTTTATGAGAATGTGTCTCGCTTCCTTCTAGGAAACAGACAATGAGGCTTAAAAGCATGGCGTGGGCAAAGACTCTGAGCTCACACTGACATTTTTCAGACACACAGAGAGAAAAGCATCAGACTGAAGCCGAACTCTGCTCAGTGTTCATGTAATTGTGCTGATGTGAGAAGCGGTCATGTACACTGCAAATGTCATGACAAAGTCGCCAAACTGAGCCATGGAATGAACGGTGGATCTTTCTAAATGCAAAGTGTAGTTTTGTAAAATGTGATGGCGAGGATGACGTATGTCACTGATTCAGATGAGTGACGCTAAAACCAATGAGGGAAAAAGTATGTTGCACTACATGCCTAAGGACATGCTGCTGTGATGTTTGTCTTTCTTTTTTATGATGCATAAGTCAGCATTTAAGGCGTGTATCAGAGATTACAAAATCCTCAATAGTTACGTTTACATTTGATGTTTTCTGGCAGCAGAAAGGAATATAGGCTGTTAACATGAAAAGCTGGTTATCAACAGCAAATTAAAGATCGCCTCAGGCTTCCAGTTGCATGTATGTGTAATATTAGTCTGTATAATATAAATTATTTCTTTATGGCAACAGACTGGAGATGATTTTGGTTCCAAATACGCAGAGACATTTATCCCACAGTTCATACTTTTGTTCAGATTATCTTTCCTGGCGACAAATTGTACCCACATTGCTTCATAACATTTTATTATAAAATCCAAACTGCTTTATCTGCATTGTCATGTTTGATATATATATAAATACATCAAATGTATTCCTTTGTGAAGTGCATGATATTTCAAAGCTCCTAAACATAACAAGTAGTCGTATAGTTCAGTGTTAAATTCTTTAAAAAAGATTACTTTATTAACAGTAATGAGGATGAATATAAACAGGTCACATGAGTACATAGTTTAAATTCTGTCAGGGTCGTGTCACAATGTCTGTTAAATGGTTTCTGCACCCACAAGCAGAAAAGCTACAGTACAAAGTTTATTTCTTGTAGACACAATGACACAGTATTCTTGTTTATAGGCCTGTCAACTAGTATAGTATTTAAACAAAACAAAACAAAACAACAACATTCAAGTTACCGTTGTGACATCTCAACCATACCTGATCATTTTGGAGGGCCAGAAAACATACTGTTATACTAGCAGGGCTGGTCCCTCCCTTACATGTAATTTTTGTTTATTTTTTTATTTTTATTTGGGCAGTTCCTCAATGATAATTCTGGATACTGAATTCCACCCTGTAGATGCGTCACCCCTGGGGTAGTCAGCACAGGTCCCCACCCACACGGCCACATCCACCAACCCTGCTTTGACACCCTCACACAGGCCTTCAACTGGAGAGAAGAAAAGGAAGACGGTGCAAATTAATTTCAGGGAACACCCAAACTGCCTCCACAGAGGGAAATTGTTCTGACACAGTGATAAACTTTCTAAAACCTAATTGGAAGAGTGTAACTTCCCTTTTAAAGTTTGCTGTCGATGCTTTCCGGGATCCACGGCAGTTTATATAACCACTTAAATGAATAGTTAGACATTTTGGGAAATATGCTTGTTTGCTCCCTTGCTGAGAGTTAGATGACAAGATTGACACCACCCTTACATCTGTCTAGTAAATACACAGTTCCAGCCACCAGCTGGTTAGCTTGGCTTAGCACAAAGACTAGTCTAGGGAAACGGGTAGCTTGGTTCAGACTGAAGGTAATAAAATAAAAATAAAAATTTTTATTAGTAAGAAGAAGCTGCAGTCACTTCCTGAAGGCGACCAGTGAAAACTTAATGCCTCTGGGGGTTAGGGTTAGGAACAGTCCAGCACATTGCCCCCTGTAAACCTCAACTTCTTTCAATTAGGTTTTTGAATGGTCTGAACAGACAATATATAATGCATTACTTTGTGAGCTTTGTGAACAGAGTTGCTGTTAGGCAGATTATTTTTACACTTTGGAGTCATGCTAGCAGTTTCCCCCTGTTTCCACTCTTTATGCTAAGCTTAGCTAACCAGCTGCTGGCTCTAGCTACAGTAACTAACATTGGACTCTCAGCAAGAACATGAGCGGGCATATTCCCCAGAAATACTGCATTGAACTATGACACTGCACTTGGGGGAAACATTATTGGTTCAGGTTGTTCATTGCACAGCAGAGCCTAAGACTGGAGTCGTACCTGACGATGTTCTGTGGATGTTGATGGTTGAGTTGAGCTCAGGACTTCCTTGGTCTAAGTAGATGATGGACTCTACGGGCAGGGGCCCCGTGCACTCTGCTCCGTTGAAGGTGAAGTACCACCTCTGGCAGCATGCGTTCTTACACTTGAGTCTGAGGGAACCACTGAAGAGGACTCTGAGGGCGCTGTCTGAGCGTAGCTTGGTGAACGTACAGTCCTGCAACACGCACCGTGAATTTGTAAAATGATCGAGACGGACACCCGCATTCCTAAGAAACATGCCCTTTACTGTGTCAAGATACTTACAGCTACTTTACCCAGGTCAATCCCATAATTCAGGGAGTTCCAGGCACACTGCTTGTAGTTGGGCCTCCATGGCTCCTCGAAGATCTCATTAATGCACTCGCCTTTCTCACCTTTGAGCCCGTCACGACCAGGGATGCCCGGAGTCCCCGGGATGCCATTGGTTCCAGGGTTACCCTCTCTGCCAGGGTTGCCTTGAGGCCCCTGCATGCAACTGCCATACTGGAATGCAAGGAAAGGAGGAAGTAGTGGTGCAAGTTGACCATAAAAAGAAGAGGGTATACAACAACATTAGCACAGTCTATTGTTATCTAAGATCCTGTTTCAGATTTTGTTCAGCCTTTCTAGGGGAGAGGTCTCTGTTTGGGCTGCATGCCATTTATCCAACCATCATAAGAAGCCAGATTATATCTCATTTACCCCCGATGTAAACAATTACACTGCCATTGGGTTGAAATAAGTGTAGACGTAGACGCAGATGTGATCCAAACCAGGGCAAAGCAACAGAACCAGCAACCATGGAGCCGTGAAGAAGCAAGTGGATGACAGGTCATGTGTTAATGATGAGCTGATGGCTTGGTGACAGCCTAAATTAGTAGTGTCTGGCCACACATCTCTCCATGTGATTCATTGTCCAGCTGAATCTCTTGCTATGTTTAAACAGTTCTTAGTCAAGCTGACTCAAACACACACACATACGCACAGACGAGGGAGCCTGCCATAACTGCCCTATGCCCTACTACCACATACAGAGATAGACACAATGAAGATCCAAGACAGCTTTGCGTAATATGTTCTTCAGAGAGACATTTTGACCGACAGATTACAGTGTGTAAGTTAGTTGTTGAAGCTTTTTATAGTTGGTGTTGGATTTTAATTTGGTCACGTGACTTATAATTGTCATATACGCATTCCTTCAGTCAGGGGCAGACATAAACTGACACGTAGAAGTGTATCCTTGCCCTTAAGCAAACACCGGTGCCAAAAGGATTTGAGTCTGGTCATTGCTGCCCTTTTGCTCAGCATGCGGAGCAATTATAGGGGCGCATGGCTAAAAGGCACCAGGGCAAAAAAAAGGTCCACAGGCAAGAGAGGAGAACAAACAGTTTTTACTCCCAGTTTCAACATCTTGTCTCAACAAGAGTCCCTGGGGTGTAGTAGAAAAAATCAATTTCAGACAATGGGAATCTGGAAAATGCCTAAACGTAGGGAGATTTACAATATTCTGATGTCAGCTGCTGCGAAACAGATGGTTGAGAAGTGATCTGTTTTAGTCATTAAGTGGCTATGCTGGAGCAACCTGGAGATGTGAGGTCTGACATCATCTCTATAGGAAACTGGGAAGTCCATGGTGAAACCAATACACTGGTGGTTGGTATGTGTGTGCTGTAATAGACCTGGAATTTGTCCTCAAGAAAAAAAGGGACAAAATATCCAGGCACCTCGGCTACTGGGTGGCAAAATGTGCAAATGATGCAAATACAGCATGAGTCCGTGTGGTTGGTACTCAGCAAGGAATCTCAGTCTTTTATTAAGAGCTGGATTTCTGGAGATATTTCAAAGCAGACTAATGAAAGGAACCTCTGTCCACTTAGCCACACAGCTGACTTTATATTAGCTTCCAGTCTGCTGTTTCTATAGTGCTGCTGCCTGCCTGCATGAATTACACTCCAGCCCTGCAGAATATTAGTAGCACACAGTCCATTACTGTAGCTGAAGCATAAAGGCTGCATTTGCCCCAGAGTGCTGAGGAACCAGTAGTATTTCATGCATTAGTCAACACCGAAGCAAGGGCTGAAGCACTCCTGGAGCATGCAGAGCATGGGTATAATGCTTGGCTTTGAGAGTTTTGAGATTTAGAGGATCTCGGGAGGATGCAAAATAGGATTTTATGATTACCATTTTGTTCAAATAAGTAGATCTTCCTTCTCCAGAGTGTAAAGTGCAGTTGGGCTTTTCTGCATCATTTCCTGTGCACTAGACACAGATGGTAACGTAAGATGCTATTCATTATGTCCTTCTACTGTGGTCTCACTTGTGGAATATGACTTTGGAGGATAATGGAGAGCAATTGCTGTGGTTCTCAATGCAGGGTATGCAGACTGATAGGAGTCTCTGAGGGAGGTCCACAGAGTCCCAGCAAAATAAACACAAGTTTCATTTTCATTTGACTCCCAAGAGACTAAGGAGAGAAATGTGTGTCCACTTTGTTCCCGCTCTCCCCACCTACAGCATAGAAAGTTATGTAATTTCATACAAAGATAGTCTAAGATTGGAGCTGGTGTAATTTGGGTGCCGTAGACTTAAATTACTATATTACTGAAACCTGATTTTATCAGATATATTATAACACATTTATCACACAATATGAATCATACATTTTCCCAAAATCAAAATCATGTAACCTTTTTTAAACCGACAGCCAGATAGATACAAAGAGAGAGGCAGACAGTATGAGCCAGACCCCAACTTCCTGTGAGGGGATTTCTTTCTGTCCACTCAGTCTGCTGGAGAGCAGCCAAAACCTGGAATAATAGTGAACCAGCTGACCATACAAACGCTATAAAACTGCATTTCTCATCTGCTGATGGGACCAGGTAATTTTGGGAGCCCATTTAGCGCATGTGGGAGAATTTTGCCCTCAGGGCTTCCAGCCAGAAAGCCTTACTTGGTTAGGGTTAGGGAAAAAAAGAAAAGAAAGCCTTTCTCCCACAAAGCCCTGAAGGCAAACTTCTCCCATGTGCCCATTTTGCCCAAAGTGGTGACCCAACACTTCTGCACTGTAAGCCTACATGTGGGTGAATCAGCATATTACCTTTTACGTTTTATTTTGGGGGGGATCGTTCGTTTAAAGACACTTCTGGCAAACAGCAATACATGCCACAAGAAAAAGTAATCCCATGATCACTTTTAGAAACACAACATGCAAAGTGCGACATAAATGTTAATAGAGATACATAAAAATACAACAAAGCGCGCTAACCGACAATCAACTAATCTGAGTATAATAATAATTTCACGAGTCCATTTTTTGTGTGATTTTTGAAGTGATTTTTCACTAAGAGAAGCCCCACATTTGCACAAAGCGCATTCATCTCTCCTGGGATGCCACATAACTACTTCTGGAAATGATCGTAGCGGCTACATGGTTACCTCAGCCAACTCTCTCTTACCTTGTCAGCGTCAGGATCCTTTCGGTATCCTCTATTTCTCACCTTTTCCACGCAATTAAGAGGCAACGCCAGGCACACAAGGAGAAGCAGGCGGGCAACAAGAGGAGACATCATACAACTGACAACTGTGCGCACCCTCTGAGAGATCTGTGGCGAGAGTTTGACTCCAACTCCAGACAGTTTTTAGACCAGAGGAGGGCAGGACAAGAAGGGAAGGAGCCAGTCAACTTGCAGAAACGTACTCGATGATGTTCATATGGGCAGTATAAGCGCGCAGTGCACAAACACATTTTTTTCAATTCTTTTTTGCCAGATGACTCTCATAAATTCCATTTTTTTTTAAATTCAATTGTGTTTTATTCAAATGAAATTGGATTGATAAAAAATTCAGCTGACAAGATAGGCTACAGTAAAAAAAAATAAAAATAGAAAAACGGCTCACAAAAGTTGTACAGAACATTTCATAGACTCCACTAAGTCTAAATCCATAACCTAGATCCCCCAGTCCACATCATGAATAAGAATATAGGCTACATGTAGAACAACAGAAATAGACTGCCAAGAATTCCCTTTTCATTAAATGTTATTTGAATTGACTCCCAAATGTGAAAGGTAAAAGAACTTAAGGGAGGAATAAATCCCTTACACAGCAACATAAGACAGTACAGTAAGACAGTTTCAAATAACTCACAGAAGTAGTTCTGGCAGTACTTGAAGGAGAAATATATGGTCTGTGACCCATATGTTATAAATAAGCCCTGAAAATAGCCACACATTCTCTTTTTGTGTTTGTTTATGACTATTCATACTTAATAATTAGTCGTTTGTGCTTCTAATGACATATAGTGCAAAGCCTGTTTGATTTGCTTCTCTCAAATTTGATTTCAAATCGCATGAAATTACACAGAGAACACAGGTAGACATCACGCATGCAAAACATCTGTAGATTCTTTGAAGAGGAGGAACTACTCACAGGGAGGTACATTCTTGTAGAATACTATAAAGCTATACTTTATCAGCGCTCACAGGACAACTCTCTACAGTAAGAGTTTCTACAACAGAAACAAGTAGGAACACTGAAATAAAGTTAAAGTACATTTTCTGAAAGAATACTCTGCCAAAGGAAAATCACAAATTCAAAATTGTCTAAAAGTCTATCAAGTTTAAGAGTATGCTTTTTTTTTTTTCCAAAGGAGCGATGAAGTAGCACATGATGTGTCCATCTTTCCGGGAATAATAAGACATTCAAAAAACAGTTCACCACAGGAAGACTCACCTCAAGTTGAATGTTTGGCAATATCATAACGTTTCTTAACAAGACTCTCAGTGTAGCAACTAGTCCAGTGAAAGACTTTCTAAAAAACAGAATATTTACATAAATATTGCATTTGTTTACTAGTATGTATTCTATGTCATAAAGCTAGCAATCTACAAAACAGTAGACCTAAGACTTAATGCATGCTACAAAATGAAATGACCATTGGTAGACGTATAGGTGGATAGCTGTGCTGCTGCAACATTCAGGTCCAGTATATGCTAGATGGCCAAAAGTTCAGTAAAGCTGAAAGACACTGCCGTCACCCAAACTAAATAATCCAACGCCTTTGGATTCTCTGCTGAGACCCACATATTCTGGTCCAAACATACCGCATTAGAAATACTCAAGGTATGTAACATATTTATGGCAATGAACCTTTACTGATGACAATGTAACCAATGCATGCATCACCTGCTTCATGAAGGTTATATGATGTATAACAAATGGGTGCTGTGCTTTAAAACAGATTATATGAACCAGCAGCGAGTGTGACTGTTGTCTGAGTGGTTTCAAGGGTGGATGGATGGATGCGCAGATACATTTGGGGGGGTAGGGGCAGATATCTCAGCAGCTGCTGTCCTTCGCATCCTTTCTCTCTTCAGGCACCTGGTGCACCAGCTGGTGGGTGGGGTCCTGGATGCTGCTGCTGTGTGATAGGTTTAAAGCTGGATGCTGTTGTCCACTGAGGACCTGCCTGGCCTCCGACAGCTCGCTCCTTGGAGTCATCCTAAACCAGGACACATCAGAGATTACGCTACAGATCAAACCACAAACAACAGAGCTGAGATTCAACAGAAATGTCTATTCATATATCAATAATGTAAAATACTGCAAGTAGGAGGAAAAGTGTTATGTCTGCGCTTTTCAGAAACATTAACATTTAAGAAGTCTAGCTAAGGTATTTCAGGGTCTGTCTCACCTCCCATCTGGGACTCTGTGCATGCTCTCTGAGCGGCTGCTGACCTTACTGGAGTTCCCGCCTTTGTTACGCCTCTCTCCCCCCTCCCTCTCTCTCTCCCTCTCCCCCCTCCTGGAGCTTCGGCTGGAGGTGCCCCTGTCCAGGTGCTCCCTGGCTGAGGCCTCAGACAGAGAACCTTGCACATGAGGCTCGTGATTGCCCAGCGCAGAGGTCCCTTGGTTGGTTGTGGCGGCAGTGGCGGAGGCACTGGTGGGCGCAGCGCCAGTGCTTGTGCCCATGGACTTTGAGATGACCTTGAGCTTGTGGGAGCTCGGCTTGTAGTGCTTCTTCTTGTGCTGGACACGGCTGTTGTGCTTCAGGAAGAACTCGCAGGACTCCTGGAGCACCCGACGGCTCTCGCTGATGGGACTGTGGGTCGGAGAACAGGAGAGTGTAGTGACACTGTGTATTTATTTCTCATGGAGACTGAATTTCAGGACAAGATATATGGTCTTACTCTCTCTTGCGGGTCCTGTTAAAGAAGTAGGCCCACTCAGAGCAGGTCTTTTTGCTGCTGACCCAGAACACTGCAGATATTCCAACCACCAGGGTCATTAAGTATTTCACCAGAAACAGGGAGAGGTCAGGACGGTGGAGCTCTGTTGCCTGAAACAAAGAGACACACACAAACTATAATAGAATCCTTGCGCTTTAGTGTGGGTAAACTAATAAAAGCTATTTCTGACTGAACACAAAATCAAGCTTTTAGCCTCAGATACTAAGATTTAACAAAGGGTCGAGCTTGTTTGTTTTTCTCCTTTGCAGTGCCTTTCTCGCTCCTGATCACTTTCACAGCAGCTTTTGTATGTCACATTACATTTTTGGAGTAAAAGCAGTTTCTAATTGGACAGCTATTTTAAAATTAAATATATACAGATATGAAATGTACTGTTTTAGTGCCTGTTATTCCTTCACACAGAGTGCTATGTATGAGGTCTGTTTAGCGCTGCAAATTGCCTTTTGAAAAGAATCACATACAAATTGACAATAAATATTTAGGCATCTGCCTAAATATTTATTGTCAGTAGACAGTCAGCCTAAATATTTATATTTGGTTGATTCCAATTTCACATCGCCATTTTTAACACACACATGTTGCAGCCCATTTAGAGCCTGGCAAGACTGACTGTTATTTGATTTTTAAAAACTAATTAGCTATGTGTGTTGCTCAGGAAATTGTGCTCTTGGCTTTAGAGACTTTTCTTTGTAAAAAAAAGTCTTTCTGGGTCAAATGGGGCTAATGTTGGTATTTCCATTATTGTTCTCACCCAAATACTCTCTGCTCACCTTAATACCTTCTATATTAGACATTTTTGAGTAGTTAAAGGATTTTCATTGGATGATGTGTTCGCCGCATCAAAAGTTTAATTTGATCTGTGTTCTAACATTATTGAAAGGACGCAAAATGTCTTTGAGCCGCTGATTGCAGTTTCATTTTTGGTTATCGGAGCTTCATAATTATTGCTTGCAAACTATTTTAAGCCTGTTGAGCCTTTATTAGCAATTTGCAAGTTTAGAACCCGCATTGACTTTTTTACAAACACACACTCACATTAGCCTAGTGTTAAGCATAACAAGCCGCTGACCAAGCATTCTCTGCAGAGGTCATGTCCTCTCCAATACTGAAAAATATCTGTCCCCCCCACTCAATATACAGTAGAAAATATGTTAGATATATCCTCTTTTTATGAAACCTGTCAACAGCTATGTCTCTTGTTATTTCCTGTTTAGTTTCACCTTTACTCATGATGTACTGCTGCCTCTACCGGTTAGTTGACATGTTAGTTTGGATCCGAACTAACACTTTAAAAACACCAAAGTCGCACAATAACATAAACAAACTAACCAATCGAGGTAACTAGCTACATGTAAGTGAGTTAAAAAGCCTTTTCTAATGTGTCACTTGGCCTTTCCTTGTTTCGGAGCCCTAACACCTTCAGCAAGTGACTAAGCCCAAGTTACCTTGTAGGAGCACGGGATGCTGTACTCTTGACAGCGGTCGTTGATCCAAGTATTCTCCCAGGTGCTGCGGTGACTCTGTTCGTAGGTATAGCAGGCTAACAGGGTGACCAGCGGGACCAGGTAGAGGCAGCTGAACACACCGATGCGGATCATGAACTTCTTCAGCTTCTCCTGGTTGCGCTCGTCATGCTGGATGACCTGCCGGACGTGGTTGAGAGAAACGATGCCCGCTAGGATGAGGAAGAGGCCCACTATGACGCCCACACACAGGGGAGCCAGAACAAAGTAGCGCAGGGCGTCCAGGTCGTAGAGCCCCACAAAGCAAACCCCGCTGATGTTGTCCCTTCAACCTTGTTCAGGGCCAGCAGCATGACAGTTAGCGCCCCGGGGATCCCCCACGCAGCAGAGTGGAACCACACCTAAAGACAAGAGGACACGTGGATCAATATTTTCAACAGCGTCCACCATTTTCCTGGCTGCTGACAGCTTGCGTTTGCTGATTTTATATTTCTATTCTACGTTCTTTGCTACTAACAAACATTTAAATTCTTAAAAATCTTACAGCTTTCTTCTCTATGGCCTCACAGCTCCACTTGGGTCCAGCTGCCAGGAACCAGGTGATGGTGAGTATGACCCACCAGACGATACCGGCAATGGAGAAGAAGTAGAGCAGCATAAACAGCAGAGTGCAGCCTTTGCTCTGGGAGCCCAGCACCACTGTATCCACACCGGCAGGATGAGACGCTTTGGTACAGGCTGCATTATTCCCCAGCAGGAAACCAATGAAGTATATGAGCGAGACAAAGCTGTAGCAGACGGCGTAGAAGATTATGGGACGCTCTGGGTAGCGGAAACGTTTCACGTCGATGAGGAAAGTGAGAAAGGTGAAGAGCGTGGCGCCCAAGCAGACGATGGAGCACACGCCGATGAAGCTCTTGGCAAATTCAATGTCATGGGGTTTGAAGTACATGTTGGAGCAAGGTGGAGCACAGTCCTGGGCGCCCAGGAACGACGATCCGTGGCCCGGCTTGGTCTTCAGCTGCAGTGGGCACCAGAAGCCAAGGTCCCTCTTAGCTGATGAGGAGCTCATTGGGGTGGTTGCAGGAAGTGCCGAACCATCAGGGGAGCTACAAGGGTCTAGTCTAGTGGGGAAAAAAACAAGGATTCTTTAATGGACTGAACAAGAAACACTCCTGTTGCTCTTGTGGATTGTCTGTAATAGTTGTTTTTTTATTTTTCTTACTTGTCACACTGTAACTCAGGTGGCCAGGTGACACCAAAGATTCGGATATTCTCCTCGCAGTCGGACAGGACAACCTCGCACTGCTCTCTGCATGGACGGATCACTTTGTTCTCCTCAGTGCATGCTGGGATAAAGGCTTGGCACAGGAAATGGTGGACGTCTGGAGAGCAGCGCAGGTTTGCCAGGGGCATGAATGGCTGAGGACGGAAAGAAAAACTACATTGTGTTGACAATGACAGTCCACGGAAAGTTTAAGAGTTAAACATTGGTTTCCCCCCTAAAACGTGTCAATCAATCAATCAATTCAAGCAAAACTACCTTTGAAGGTTCATAAATGGTATAAATGGTAATAAGGTGTGACATTTAACACAGTAGCAACGGCAGCAAAAAGCATTGACACGGCACAAAATAATGTTTGTTTTTTGTGAAAAACAGAATAATTTGACCTTTTATAGCATAAAACAAACAACAAAAACTAACTTGACCTGATCATAATAACCCATAGGTATATAGAAGTGTTGATGGTCACAAGTCAACATTGCTTTGGTTTAAGGGGTCACAAATCAGAAAGATTGGGAGTCACTGCTCTACATAAAGTATTAACTTTATTTTGTACATAGCGCTACACAAAGGGGCCGATTCACTGGCTGGGAACCATATTCTTCCGTTTCAACACAGTGGTCAAGAGCTTGAGAATTGGAGGGGGGGGCAGGATATGAGAGCACATACATTTGGAAACACAATGACAGGCCAGGAAGGCTGGAATGCATACAGCTGTTGATAGGTCAGGCTGCTGATGAGACAGTTATTAGTGTGTCTACATGCTTGGATTTCTCAGGCATACACAGCTTACACTAAAGAAAACTCCATTCCAGTTCCTATGCTGATTTTCTAAAATCTAAAACCATGGACGTCTTAGTGTAGTCAGGACTCTTTCTTTGAACCTCGTTAACCATCATCAGACCAACATGCACGACAGACTTCTGTCAAATCTATACCATTAATATTTGTCTACAGGACACACACACACACACACACACACACACACACTCTAACACAGTCCACTATTCATAAATGGTAATAAAAAGGTAAATGGCAACATTTATATAGCTCTTTTATCGAAAGCACTTTGCAAGGTTTTTACAAAGTTTATTCAATGTTTCCTCTCCTCCTTTTTTTCCTGAAATCCAGTCTGGCAGTAGGCCCGTGTCTCTGGGGGCCTGGCCATGCCCCCTCTGACAGTAAGCGTCCTTGTTTCTCGTCCATGGAGGTCCTGGACTCCTTCTCACTGAGCTCCCCATTTCTCAACAATCTGACCTTTATTTGCTTTACTGCAAGCGCTGTAAAAACTGCCCTCATTTCAGAAACCTTCAGCCAGGATCAGCGGTACGAGTCGAGCTGATTTGCTTTTTATAGCAAAATCCTCAGCAGAGAACTTCATAGAAAAGTACTTCAAGGATTAAATGATTTTTTTTTTTTTTAAATGGCTAGAAAATCACTTTTCAAACTTTCGCTCAAAGTTTTAAGTGTTCCCTGTCCATTACAGCACGTCAATTAGTCTTTCCATTCTCTTTGTATTCTAACACTTCAAACTTTGCTATTTCAAAAGCTGGCAAACATTGGTGGAATCTGGGACCAAGGGCGGAAAAAGGTTAGACCTCCTCCGGAAAATCCTACTGATGGGCCGGACTAAGCCCATACCAAAGCAGGAGTCTGCTTGATTACAGCGTCAAAAGCTTTGTGATAGATCACTGCACTCTTCTTAAAGAGAGCTATGTACAGTATGTAAAGTTGAATGTAAGCCTGTCACCTGGGAGACAGGACCGTGGAGGTAAAACCGTGTACAGGGGGGAAATGAGTGAGTGATTAACAGAGAGAGAGAGTACTGTGGTATGCAGGGTAGGCTTTGTGTGAGACTGGGTGTGTCCCTCCCCTTCCTCCAGAAATCAAAGGCCCCTCAGAACAAAGTTGATGAAGTTGCCTGTGGCCAAGGTTGCTGTGAAATAAAAACCCTATACCTTTGCCAGATGCCAAACAAAAGACTCCTTCAACAGATCACTGTTCATGCTCAATGCTCTGACACCAACTGTGTGTAACCCAAACCCTGGCCTTCAGGAATGCCAGAATACAGGATGCAACTACTACAGACCCTGAGTTCACTGCCGAGGAGAGACACAAGACAACATTTGGTCTACGGGCATGCAAGGCCAGTGACTAAACATCTCATTAGGCCAGAGAGAAAGCCAAACTGAAATTTGAACTCTCGTCACTTTTTGTTTGAGGAAATATAAGCTATGATGATGATGATACAGGTAGAAGGCATTTTTTAAATCTTTTTTGGACATGTTTGTGGATACAGTAAACTTCAAATCTTTGAGTGGGCGTTTCCCATGGCAGCTAGGCTAAGTAGAGTTACTTTTGGGTCATGTTAACACCTGCTGAGTAGATAGATAGATAGAACTTTATTGATCCCCGAGGGGAAATTGCTATGTTGAGTCATCATCAGCTCCTCACACACCAGTGCTGTTGTCCTGCGTTATATGAACAGAAGTCGTCTAAAGCCTAGTTCACACTACACGATTTTGAGCCCGATTTGCCGGTCTGCGTGCTCGCGACCGTCAGGCTGTGATCAGGGGTAGCCTAAAATCAGCGATCGATCGGCGGACGCCAGTCGTTATGTGTGAACTACTCAACGACACATCAAAACGGCTCTGACAAAAGCCTGACATTCGCCGAGCTCGCCGACCTTCAAAGAGATGAAAGCAGATTCATAGTTATTGTGTTCACAACTAACAGTTTATTTACTAGACAGTGCTCTATAACAATCAGGCATGATTTTTGTGGACAAACTGTGGCTGGTAAACTGTGTGTGTCTGTTGATGACCGTTACAAAACGGTAATTAAGGTTCAATCAATATGCACTTCTGAAGGCTGTCAGGCGCTGGCATTTATAGACTGGACCCACTAACAGCACTAATAATAGCACTAACCACAGCAATTATTTTGAGATGGTATTCATTATCTTTAAATGTGACTTGAATTACGAAGAGGTATTAGGAGAGGTATGGAGGAAGCATTTATTTTCTGTCACAGGCCAATATAATTACAACCCTCCATGGTAACTAATGAGATTCTTTAAAGTTGGGGCAGCAGCTGTGAAACATCTCAACATAAGACATTTCTCACAAATTCAAACAGACACATTTTATATGATCTCTGGAAACTTTGAGAATTTAAGATTAAGGTCTGCGGGTTTTAATGTTTGGTGTTTGGCCAAATATTATTTGTACCCACAGCATGGGTTTGTGTTGACTGGCCCAACTAATACCACAATTAAAAGGCAGGAATATAATGTAACACACTGGGTGTTTAAATTAAGAATTGCCCAACAAAAGCCACAACTGAACAATAGATAAACTATGTGTAAGTTATAAAATGTAACTCCATATTTTACAGACTGATTGACTGGCCAATGACCAATAAGGCCAATATACAGTGTGTCAACAAACTGATATATGTAATGTTATGAGGACTCACCTCCATATTGCTGGCTGCAATATCCTGGTCGTAGTGCTCCATCATGTTGGGGAAGAAAGTCATGTTGTAGGGCATCCCCAGGCACCGATGCACTTTGATGGGCTCGCAGGTAAACAGGCTGTGGGCACTGCAGCTTCCTACCCATATCAGAGCCAGGCACACCCACAACGGCCCTGGCATTAGCATTGCGACTGAGTGTGTGTGAGTGTATGTTTTGTTATTTTTTTGCAAAAACAAGAAAAGGTTTCTTTTTGGCTCAGCGTGAGGATATCTTGGCCCAAATGTTAAATTCTCCTGGCTCACACTATCATCCACATTTCACTCCTCCTGGGGTCATCTCAGTGGCGCCGGCGGGCATTGCAGGAGGTAAAACTTTCCCATCATTGGTCAGCATGTGCCTCCGGGTCACAGACAGGAATCCCACATCCCTGAAAATAAAATATTTATTCTTAAATGGGTTTATACTTTCTGCTTCTCAATGACTAAAATGTATCTTAAGAGGTTCATTTTGGACCCCAAGCCACATTTCATGAAGAATTGTCTTCAGGAGCCCCAGCTGAAAAGACTTTTGTAGGTGCTTATTACCATATATACTGCAGAATGGAAGAGCATTTTTCTGGGCACCACTACAGGTCCCTTCAGGTCCTCAGGCTCCAGTTTGGGAAGCACTGTTTAGAGACGAATCTGCCATGTGGAATTAAGGGACCAAAATCCAATCAATCCCTGTGCAGACTTTAAGTGCATGAATTTACACGGGGTGGGGAATGCTAAAGATCCAGGCTGATTCAGTAGAATGAGTCTCAGCATGTTGATGCACATTAAATCTTGCATTGAAGTATCCCCGTTCCACATACACACACACACCTGAGCAACTAAGAATCTTGAATGCCTGAATGTAATACTGTCCCAGTGACTCCAAAAGCAAAGTGTCAGTAGGTTTAGGTTTTCATAGGGGCCCATATAAAACGAGTTTTGGGTATTAGTAATGGTTATATTCTGTAAACTAACAAGTACATACATGTGTTTTATAAAATGTAGAATTTGAAGTGTTCTAAATTAATATATGGTCTTTTAAGAATAAAGAGAGCTGTTTGTATGGGTGCTTGAATTCCTGATGATTATCATACGATTAGATTATCACTTGTGGTAAGAGTTTATCTAATATTACCACACCACTGTTTATATGGAAAGTAACCTCCATCAACAATCGTCATATCAGTGCAGATTGTGGGCCTGTACGTTTTGGAGCTGCACATAAATAATAGTGGAAACAGGGTTTTTAAGTTAGCATAAGCTTATCGGCTAGCATAATAGCAATGATTCAAGAGTCAGTAAAAGTTGGCAGTGCAAACATTTAACCCGTAACGTTACCACCAACAGCACCACATAAATCTAACAAGCAAGTTTTTACAGCTTAGTAAAAACATAGGGATAAGTTCCTATCGTAATGTCAGGACTTTTAAGAGTATGTCAGTCTATCGGCAGGAAAGCCGTTTTCCCGTAAATTAGACGCTAAATGCGGGGAAAGGGTACAGTAAACATCCCTGCCTCGGTCGCCGCGACGGGACGGGGCCCCTTACAAAGTTACAACTTACAAAGATTTTTGTTTTAAAAAAAAAAAAACTATGAGTGTAAAAAACGAAACAACTTACCCCCAACTGCCAGGAGTTCGTGTACCAGCTGACTACATGGATACTCGTTGGAGCAATGCTGTGGGGAATTTGGTAACGCGTTTCCTGCGATACGCTCCGACACAGTCCTCCTCAGTCTTTTCTTGTCGGGCTGCTCTGAACTGAAGCTGCCTTCAAAGCTGTTGGAAATCTCGTCATTATATTGACCATACGTACAGGAAACGGGTTGTGAATCAATCCGTTGTAAGTCTGTATTTTGAAAGCCTTAGCCTTATAGGCCTGCACTTTTTAAAGTAAAAATTATGTTGAGAGTTTAACAGTGTGGTAAGTTCTCACATACAAATGAAAGAGAGAGAGAAAAAAACTCTGAACAGAACTTTAGCCACAGCGCACAATACCAAGGTGCACTTGAATGCACCGACAGCAGTAGAGCTGGGGCAGCACTTGAACGCAGCATGTGTGCAGATGGGCAGATGAAAGACGGGACAATCCCTCACCAAATGTAAGGGAAACTTGCAATGATTAGCGAATCTAAAACGTGTCACACACAGGCTGATGGGAGTTTGATTTCAGGCTTTGTTTAAGAACGGCAGCTTGTAGCCCACATTTATTTAGACAATATTTGCATTTTCCGATTGAACACAAACAGGAGGTGCTGTCTGTCTCATGGGGAAAAAAAAGAGAGAGATTAGTGAGTGAGAATGCTGGTGTAATTTTTCCTAAATACCACTAGATGGAAGTAACTGATTTATCAATTTAATACAAAAAATGACTAAAACCCATTAATGCCTCAGGGGGATACTTAACAAATATCAAAACAACTATATACAACAGAAATATTTTAAGCATTACAGACTACTAGGCCCCTACTCACAGACTGAATGTCTCTATTGAATGTCCAGGAAATCTAAAAAAAAACAAAACAAACAAAAAAAAACTAATGTGCACTAAGCTACTAATAACATCACAATAAAGTAGGCTACAACACTGACGCTGTAAATCTTTAGGCTATAGGGTTTTCAACAGTAGTCTCAGTACTTACAGTAACACTAATAAGACTATTCCTCAATTTGATGTAGTGGAAATCCTACGACGACCCCTGGTGCCCCTACATGTACCCAACCATCAGGCCTATGTATGTAGTAAACATACAGGCGTTCACGCAATTGCTGTGTTCCAATTATCCACCTGGGGGCGCTGTATCCCTTCTCTGTAAGTATTCATGTGACCGCCGTGGAGAGGCGGGGTTATAATGTAACAATTTAGGTGCTACAGTAGAACCAACAAAGTATCCGCGCAAACCGAGCGCGTCGTTTTGCCGTTGCGCTCTGCTTTTCCTCTCACCGCGGATGTGTACAAGAGACCAGCTTCGGTCATCTAATGCCATTTGTAACGGAGGCGCCGCCAGAGGGAACGGGACTGGCTCATAACACATTCATATGAGGTGCGTAAGCTTGTGGCATATTAAGACAAGAGGGAGCTGAATACAGTGAATTCCTGCAAAGCGGCGGGTTGCTCTGAATAGAATGAGGTGCGGATCGTCTGAGTGCGTCCTGTGATGGATGCAACAGGATTATTCTCCTCGCACGGAGGAGGTTGCTCTGCGTCCCCCGTAGTTTGCGGACCGAGGCGCTGGCCTGTTGCTAGGAGACCTTTTGACAGCTGGGAGCTTTTGGAAAGTGACAGTTAATGCACTAATGGTGTCTGCTTATCTGGCAACCCAAACCTTCCTCCTTCGCCCCCCTTCCAGTTCCTTGTTGCACTGCTAGTCCTAATTGCATCTTGTGCGTAAAAGACAACATTTACGACTGTGGTTATTTTTCCAGTCAGGAGATTACAGTGTTTTGCAGGGAACAATGGCCTTCTTGTTGTGATTATCAGATCCTAAATATATCCACCTTCCGGATATGTTTAATCTTTTCTGAGGCCAAAATGATGGGAACTCATTATGTCTCAGTTAGAGGGTTTGGGATGTTTTGCCATGTCATTTTGCAATCAAAACTTCATAAGCTATGTGGACCTATATAGAGACAAATGGAGCAATGGCCAATAGAGATCCCCACATAGAAAGAGATTGAATATTAGCCCTAATTTGCATTCTGGATGTGAGTACATTTGCTTTATTTTTGCTCTCTATAAACCACATCGTCAAAAGCTTATATAGGCAAAGCTATGAAATGTGCACAGCGTGTGTCAGCCTGTTTTGGGGTTGGACCACAGGATAAGCTTCTTCTATCCCTCATCAGGCAGTAGCAGTTGCCTTGTAGCCATGCGTCTGAAGGTCACTCATGAACAGATCGATAACTAGATCTTGCTGGGGACTACAGTCAAGAGAAGCCGGTATACCCTCAGATCTGCCTACACGTAAGGTGAACCACATACATACACAAGCTTCACTCTATAAAATATCCACATGAGAGGACCTGGGGCAACTTATTGTACAGTGAGTGAGTAGTAGTTCAATAAGAGTATGCAGAGAAGCTTCTGACCTCTGTTTCCCTCCTGTGCTGTATCATCTTGCAGGAAACTGGGGGATATCAGATCCAGGTATGTAGCACATTATGTCAAGGTTGTAGCTACACCAGAGGGACTTGGTGTAATTTAGACTCCCAGCTTGTTTTGAGAAGCGCTGAGCTTGTTTATTCCCTTCCGTGAAGTCTGGCTGCCTGTGGCTGTCACAGCCGCTGTGCTGCACATATAAAAGGCCTTGAAAAAACAGCCAAAGTGAGTAAAGAATTGTCAAAGCCAAAGCCAGTGTAGCTGAGAGAAGGGAGAAGTCAGCATTAGGCTTGACAAGCGGTTGCATCCCTTCACACATCGCACAGGAGGTTGTCACAGTGCGGCTGGGTCCAGTGGATGGACTGAGTAAAGCTGACATGCTGCTCTGTCCTATCAGGCTGATGTATGTTCCCAGTGAGGAGACTGCAGTCCTCAGGAGCCACATAGCACCTCCCCTCCACCTCCACCACCATCTCCTCTTCCTTTGTCTAGGGGCATGCCTTCTGAACCCAGCCTCAGGTAAGTGGCCTGGTCTTCCCATATATAATGTAAATATTAAAGCATGCTCAAAGCACATGGCACAAACAGAAAACATCCGTAAGTAGCAGTTACTGTATATGCACTGAAAAATGTATCGACTATTTAAGCAATTGTAGGCAAAGAGCCACTTGCTTGCTGATGGGACTGAGAGCACAGTTCTTTATTCTAACCCGAGGAAGATCCAGGGAAGATCAATATGTTGTTCGATAAAGGTGCTCCTAGTGTGCAGGCTACTCTGGCTTTCTGTTGTTATCCAATTTATTGCTTGGACGTAGTGGAGATTAGACAAGGGTAAACCCACCCAAAGGAGATGGTCAATTAAAAGACCAAAACCAAAAATTTGTCCTCTTCTGAGAACTGTCAATACAAGCTGTCTAGCTCTCATCCTTAAGCCCATTCATTGCTACTGAACATACTTTCTACTGGCGTAAACCTTTCAAAACAGGTCATAAAGATATACTTTAATCTGAAAGAAAAGGTTAAATAGCTTCTTGAAACAGCTGAGCATTGTATTTTTAAGCAAACTGTACTAAAACAAAGGTAAATTGTGTATTTGTCGGTGAGTATTTACAGCAGCAGGTCGGTGGATGTGGGATTGCCTCGAAATAAACTACAGTGCCCATGTTCGTTGTGACAAAGAAACATGTCGCCCCATGCAATTGGGTGGTTTATTTATATATTTTTTTAATAGTTTATGTAAAACATTGGGTATATCGCACTGAGGAATAAGAAATGTCAGGCTTTGGCTACACAGACAACAGTACAGTAAACTCGCTGGATTTGGTCATTTCATGAGTGTTGTTAACATTAAGAAAAATACAGAACATTGCCAGACCATTGCCCTATTTCAAATCGATTTGCCCACCTTTTCCTATGTAAAATTGAATCTGCCTTTTTATTTTTATAAAGTCACTATGTGTAGCATTTTATTGATTTATTAACATTTTATATTTTATTAACATTTCTGACTTTGTGAGCATTGCTGTGGCAAGCAGTGGAATCATCAATTTTACAGATCAAGGTCGGTTTTCTAGTCATCAGGAGTACTATTCAGCCTGTGAAAACAGTTGTATAATGTATTCCGCAGGCCTGGAGGACCTTTGTCAAGTTGAAGAAAAATAACTCCCGATGATGTCATCTTGGTTTGAGCTTTCGGACCACTATTTTTTAACTGCGAGCCTGTGGTACAGAGTAGGGGCGTGGACTTTGAAAGACGTGGGCAAGGAGTCTAGCAAATTGGATTCTATTGGTTGCATTATGGGAAAGCCATCTCAGCTTCTCCTGCTTCAAATTTGACTGTTCTTTTTAAAAAATCAGCCTCTTGTGAATCAACTGATGAAAGTTATAAGATAAAATTTGTATATTCATTAACATCTAGTACATTATAGGCCTCTACCCCTCAAATCTCCCATACCACTTCTCCCTCTGTGAGTTGTGAAATTGTGTAATTTCCCTTCCCTGTCATCCTGCACAGCAATTTTGTCCTTTTCTCCCCTGGCTCTTCCCAGCCCAGTCCAACCGCCAAACAAACAGCCTGACTCATTGTTCATCCTACCTCTGGCCCGTAATGCGCACACGCATCCACCCACACACACCCATTATTTCCTCTGTCTTGAACCACATCACCATGAAGGTGACAGAGCAAGCCTCCTGGCAGACAGCAGCATTTAGAGTGACTGTCGCAACTGTAAGCGGACAGAGATGGATTTGGATGGACAGGGTGGCGTGCTGCTGATGGATGAGTACAAGCGGAGAGAGACTTGAGGATGGGTTGGAAAACAGGGTGTATTTGGTGCTACATGGATCCACAGAATATAGTCAGTCAATGAGTCAGTCAGTCACAATGTTTTAAACATGTTCTGTAGTCGGGGTGTTATTTTCTCATCCACCATAAAGAATCTGACTGTCACGATTTGTTGTGGCGAGCAGGTTGGTGGACCCAAATGCAGGACGCAGAGCGGAGCAGGTACAGTTCAAAAGGTTTATTAAACCAAAAGCGAGCACACTTACTGGCAGAGTGGCTGACAAACAGAGTCCAACAACAGCAACATAGGACAGAGCATATGAACACAACAAAACACTGCAATGATCGGACAAAGACTAAACAGAACACCAGGTATATATACATACA